CCTACATGTTCACTTACGCAGCCAAAGAAGACGACAATCACTTTACAGTTAAAAATGAAATAGGCCTATTCAATAAATATACTGCGAGTGTAGGCCAATTATCTTGAAACGATTGTTTAACGGAATTCTAAATCTTCTACACATTTTTATCAAATATTTCGAGAACAATGTGTTTTATATCTCACACCAACTAAGGCTGCTGTTTCTTATCGCAGGATAAGGATTTGAGACGTTGAGGGGTCTATCGTGCTCTCTCTCTCTATCTCTCTATCTCTCTATATCGCTATCTCTATCTCTATCTCTATCTCTATCTCTCTCTCTCTCTCCCCCAGGGCCCCATAGAGGAAAGAGAACACCTACAGGTCAGAGGGCGCAAGGAGAGAGAGGAGAGGTGGGGGCCTGCGGAACACTGCACATGAAGTTTAGAAACAGTCGCTGTCTGATATTCGCTAAACACCCTCACATCGCCTAGTTATCAATAGCAGGTTGATATTTGTCCATCATTAATTTCTCTGGCAGTTGAAATGCTTATAACACCACAGATTGGTAGCAGTAGACTAGGCCTAATGTCTACTATAGAGTCAACATTGACTCTATAGGCCTATCTCTGTGATCATTAACAGTGTAACCAAACCGTGCGGGTCCGCGGGGGTCAATCGTGTGAGCGCGGTGACGTGTGTGGTGTACGTGGCGACGGAAACCGTTATTAGAGCATCCCCCCCAACACAACACACACCATCTCCACGCCACAACAGCCACAATCCCAATGTCACTCCATGACAGCACATTCTCTGTGTGAATGCCCCAACGCACAGACGTATGGACTGCTTCATATGAGACCGTCGAGGACTGTTGACAGACTAGTAGGCTACAGACCGAATAGACCATCAATGTCCCAGCGCTGAACTGACATCTGAACACGGTAAGACACAACAATTGTTTAAATAACCTGGTCTGTTTTGGAGAGGTGCATGACCTACAGGCTATAGTTGTTTGTCTTTTTATTTGTGATAAAAATAGAGATCTATCCTACTTAGCATATATTTATTAAAGCATATAATATAAGAATATTAATATAGGACTATTATTAAATGATCTGCTAGGCTATTATTTCAGAAAAGAATTGTTGGGTTGAAGGGAAACTTGCGCGCGGGACACTGCATGCGTTACAGCCCAAATTCTGGTGAGAATCTTGAAATAACGAGTTTATTACCTTCACAAATGACCGTTTTGAAGAACATTAACAAATATCAAAGAAGAATGTCAAGGATATGAAGTCATTATCGGTAGCCTATGAGTCGAAGCCAAGAAAATGTGAGAAAAGCACATAAAATATTCTATATGCTATAAATATTTAGGCCTACACAATGCCAATTTCTTACACAAATGCATAATGGGTAGGTCTATAATTTCACACAATTTGGCTATTATAATAGACTACCTCTGCAATGTAGCCCTGCCTATACTATTTCAGTGTGTGTGATTGCGGATTCATTATTTAATGGAAATCAGGGTCAAGTTCATTTCCAAACGGAGAGAGCCGAGTCCAAACGAGCGCCAGTTTACCTCGCGCTGACCCCTTCAACTTTCAACTCCGGTTGACTCTGGTCGAGAGCTGCACGGTAATGCGCGCAACCGGTTGATTATCTCGATTGTCAGTAATCCAGACAGACGTGCGCGCACTGCACAAAATTGGTAGCCTATGAGATAATATACATGTATAGGCTAGCCTAGCTATAACTTAGCCTAATAGGTTATTTATATTCTGAGATAATGCATTAATGTATTTATTTATTGTTGCTCCTCTCTTCAATAGGGATTAGGTAGCCTACTTTCATGCTCTTTAAACCAAACCAAATCCTCATAAAACGACGACCCCCTATTTACATATTTTGTTCTCTCTCTCTCTCTTTGTGTGTGTGTGTGTGTGTGTGTGAGAGAGAGAGAGAGATCTTATGATCCATTCTTTCAGTGACTGATAAATTGATGATTGTGATAGGCCTACATTGATCGGGGGGTAGTATAGGCTATGACGCGACTGTATGATGGGGGTGGGGCTGAAAAACGAAGGGAATTCCTTGAAACTGATCATTGCTGATTTCAGGGACAAACTGAGAGCTCCGCTGGAGAGAGAGAGAGAGAGAGAGAGAGAGAGAGAGAGAGAGAGAGAGAGAGAGAGAGAGCGAGAGAGAGAGAGAAGAGAGAGAGAGATATAGAGCTAGAGAGACGATAGAGAGAGATATAGCTATAGAGAGATATAGAGATCGATAGCGCTATCTCTCTCGAGAGAGATCTCTAGCCGCTCGCTCTCTCTCTCCTCTCTCTCTACTCTGCTCTGCCTATCTCTCTCCTCTCTCTCTACTCTCGGCGAAGTCTAGCTATCATCTCACATTGGGGTCTCTTGAGGGTCTACGACAACGGTCAGAGTCAGACAGTGGAGGAAAGTTTGTCCAGACATAGGCTACAATCCAGTTTTAAAATACTAAGACGTGTATAACCTTCGTCCAGTGGGAAATTCACGGTATTATGCGTTACTGACGGAGGTCTGCTCACGGAGTGTTCTAATTAATTCGGTTACTTATGTGCATGGGTCTGGGCCCGTGGGAATTTCGGAATATAGGTGACACAGCGACTCAGGACACTGATTTAACACACACACACACCAGGATGACCGTTGAACTGTGGTCTCCAGGGACGAAACAGAACAGCGCATGAGGTAGGCGGCCTACACCCAAAGAGTGAGGAGTGTTTGAGTATGAATGTGTGCGGCTGAATGTGTTGTTTAGTCTCAGCGGCTTGGCTTTAGATCGCGGGCTCCATGACGTCCAGAGTTGATGTATAGTGCAGACCTGCGTTCAAATACTATTTAGGGTAGGGATTTCCATTACTTAAAAGACATTTCGAAGTAGGCTAAGTATTTGGATATTTTTTATTTGAAAATAAAATATTGGCATGTGAAAATACTTAAATACACAAAGTGTAATTTTAAATACAAATATTTAAATACTCTATACATTTGATCCCAGGTCTGTTTGGTCCTATAGGTATTTGAAATAATGTATTTTTGGAAACAAGTATTTGAAAATAGTTTCAGCTATTTATAGGAAGTTGTTTGAAAATACTATCAAATAGACCACTTCAAATAGAAGTAGCTGATTTGGCCACATTATTTGAAAATACTCAAATACACAGAAAAATAAGTAGGCTACCACACGTAGCCTATGTATTTGAACCCGGTGCTGTTTAGTGAGAGAGATTCATGTGCAGTCTGGGATTTTACCTACAATAAATCAAACTGGACCTCTCATCGGTCGTCTAGAAACACTGTTTAGATTTTGGGCTCTATTCAATCTCATCGCGTAAATTCAGCTTTACAGCGTGATTGAAATTTAAAGGCAATGTTCCTGCTTTAGCGGAGACCGCATTCACGGTAAACGCTGCATATTTCGGCTCAATCGGAAATTACCTTTACAGCGGAATCTGTAACGCGTCAGTTTTACAGATTGAATAGAGTTTTTAGTGTCACTAGAAATGTTATAGTCAATAATTTATTGAAAACATTGTTTATTTATTTTACCAGTGGGCCCTGATCTTTCACAGCTTATAGCATCATATCATCGTCTAGCTTACTAATAGCATATCTGATTACTAGTAGCCTAAAATATTGTTATTCTTAGGTTATTATTGATACATTATTTATAGGCCTAAATTCATGTATGCCTAAGCTACATTATTAATTATTAGAGTGTTATTAGATTATGATTATATGATGACGATGGTGATGATTGTTTTTGTTGTTGTTATTATTATTATTATTATTATTATTATTATTGTTATTATTACGTTGTTAATATGCACACCATGTGACATAATCATGATATTATTTTCAATGTAGCATAATTGTAGTTTGTCACAAAGCCTTAGCCTACTGATATTTTATTTCTTAATTTGTTTCATTTGATTATCTAGACAATTTGTGCATTAGCATATTTCTTGACGTGTTTTAAAAGTCGTAACCCAGATTATTTGGTAATATAGTTTTAGTTTGAATTGCATCATTATTTTGTCATATTTTCTGTGAAATGAGACTGAGGTGTACATTGAATTCAAGTCAATAGTATCAGCTCTACAATCAACATATTCATATATTAGTGGAGATCATATTTGCTTTATTTTGTAACGTTTCAATGTAGCCTATAATGCACACTTTAGTGAACGCTTTCATTTGGATGATAGACTAAGCTTATAATTGAATCCGGATATACACTGAGTGTACAAAACATTAAGAACACATTCTCTTTCCGTGACATAGACTGACTGACCAGGTGAATCTAGGTGAAAGCTATAATCCCTTATTTATGTCACTTGTTAAATTCACTTCAGCGTAGATGAAGGGGGGGAGACAGGTTAAAGAAGGATTTTTAAGCCTTGAGACAATGGAGAAATGGATTGTGTGTGTGCCATTCAGAGGGTGAATGGGCAAACAAAATATTTAAGTGCCTTTGAACGGGGTATGGTAGTAGGTGCTACCGGTTGTATCAAGAACTTCAACGCTGCTGGGTTTTTCACGCTCAACAGTTTCCCGTGTGTATTAAGAACGGTCCACCACCCGAAGGACATCCAGCCAACTTGACACAACTGTGGGAAGCATTGGAGTCAACATGGGCCCGCATCCCTGCGGAACGCTTTCGACACCTTGTAGAGTCCATGCCCCGACGAATTGAGGCTGTTCTGAGGTTTGACTTAACATTAGGAAGGTGTTCTTAATGTTTTCTACACACAGTGTACAGTGTAGGCCTAGGCCGATGATTCTGAAAATACAGCATTCATATAGGCCTATCGTCCTTTGGCTATTAGCCTAATGGAATATGGAATTATAGCCTATGCAGTAGGTCTAATAGGCATATTATCAGTCAATACTTTATTATTAGCCTATCAGATAATAGTGTGTGTGTGTTGTGTCTATCCCGTCAGTGTGTTCGTCGGTATCAGGCAGTGTCATGGCTAACGCCATCCCAGAGCGCGTGGACACCGACACGGACTCACCGAATGAGAACAAACCGGAGAATCACACTCGCTCCCTGAGCTCGCCACCTTCACCGCAGACCACGTGCACACATCAGGTAATTTCCGGTGTGTGTGTGTGTTTAATTGTTAAAAACATAAAAATGATGCACTTCCATTTATTTTTAAATTGTGGGTGATCACGATTTATGTATGCACCGTAATTGCATGATTTTCTCTCCTTAAGTGATATGGAAATTTTTTTATTGAAAATAATGTCATTATTAGGCTAATAATCTACGGTAGTGTAGCATATCGGATATACATTATTTTTTCCCCTGAATAATATAGGCCTAGGCCACTAATTTAGACGATTAGCTAATTTCCCCAATATAATAACTAAAGTCAGCTAAGTAGGACTCCATGTCATGTCAAAGCAGAAACAAACAATCAGTTTTAGGAATGCAGGAGCTGAATATGACCTAGATTTGGTTTCTAAACTGTCGGTTGGTTACCTAGAACATGCCCAGAGCAACACTGACTGACTGACTGACTGCTTCTCTCTGGTCAAATCTGTGTCAAACTGCGTTAGTGAAAATATCGTGCTTGAGTGATACATTTGAAACCTTCAGTAGCCTGTTAAACAGTGTAGGCCTATGCAGCATCTAATAAATAGGCTTACAATAGTTATTGTTATTAATGTAAAGTATTGTCATTTTAATCAACCTGTTCCAATAATACGACCTAGTTTCATTAAGATCAAATACAATATAAATGGCCAGGCTGTATTGGCCTACATATTTTTTTGTTTGTATTTATTTATTGTTTTTACAATGTTCAAAGAACAAGTTTGTGTAGGCCTATCGGTAGGATATTCATGGCGGAGGGAGTGGGTCTTTGGTTTAATTGTTTAATATATTTATTATCTCCTCTGTTCTCTCTATTTTCAGGGGATGGATGGAATAAAAGTCTACACGCAAGAGCGGGAGCTGTGGGATAAATTCCACGAGGTCGGAACGGAGATGATCATCACTAAGGCGGGAAGGTAAAATAGCCTATGTTGAACTCTTCATTTTTATCTTCAAACATCAAAAAGTAAATGTAGCATATTCTTTGCTGAATGTATTTTTGCATTAGGTGAGAATGAAAAATCGTGTCCCTATAAACTTGCAAACACGTTTTTTCTCTCTCTTTTTACGTTGGCTTAGGCTATATATATATATATATTTTAACTTCCGTTAATTACCAAGGAGCATTTAGGAAAATATAAAAACTCATCTACTAGACCTATAGACCTGTTAAATCTTAAAATATTTAGTCACATTTTTGTGATGAATGTTTGTAGCCTGACATTTTTATTTAGCCTACAATTATCACAAGTATGTTTTGTTTAGGTTTTTGCTCACAACTGCAACAATGGTTGCTATGCCTCAGTGATAGGCCTAATGATATTCCATTTTTTTGCTATGTTCCTTACTGTCTGTGGGGTTCCTTTCTCGCCAGGCGGATGTTCCCCTGCTACAAGGTGAAGGTGACGGGCCTCAACCCTAAAAGCAAGTACATCCTCCTCATGGATATCGTGCCAGCAGATGAGCACCGCTACAAGTTCGCTGATAATAAATGGCAAGCTTCATATCACATCTTTGCATATTTAAATAGCCTGTGGTATGTGATGTGAATTGTTTGTTTTAAATGTAATGTGATGTTTTTTTTTTAATGTAGGGATACATTATTGTTATAGTGTTGACCTGCTAATGCCTTGGCTTAAAGGAGGGTATGTCACAAGGCAGATACACAGCTACCTTAGATTCTGAAATAAATACTTGAAATGGGCATAGTAGCCTACAATTGACTCAACACACTCAATAACCCATAGTCAGGTTTCAAGCTTCAAAGTATCAGAAAACCAAGAGCTAGACTTATACCAATAAGACTATGCTGATAAGAATTACATTTACATTTGATGTTTTAGTCATTTAGCAGATGCTCTTATCCAGAGCGATTTACAGGAGCAATTAGGATTAAGTGCCTTGCTCAAGGGAACATCGACAGATTTCACCTAGTCAGCTCTGGGATTCAAACCAGCAACCTTTCGCTTACTGGCCCATCGTTCTTAACCGCTAGGCTACCTGCCGCCCATGATACAATGCTATATACTGTATTTTAACAACATCATAGAGAGAGAAACATAACGCAGAGCAGAGCCGTGGATGTATAGCCCTACTAAAACGCTGCAGTCATGTCCCAGTCCTACCCCGTGCCCTGTGCCCTGTGGCCTAGTTCCCTGTGTGTGCCTGCTGGCTGCGCGCCCCACCCCTTGTCCCTGACCGCCGGTTCAGTCTCAGCACCATGGGTTCATATGGCGGGCAGATTAAATGCCGGGTCTCACTGAGGTCCGCACCAGCACGAGGCTGCAGGGGAGCTCTAAACCCTCTTGTGCTGCGTGAGTCTGTCATCCTCTCCCTGGTCATGTGATGATGCCCTGTGGCACCCTAAAGGACGATTCATTCAGCTGATCCCACTGGCCCAATGGGAGGCAGATGGCCCATTTTCAGTGATGTTTAGGACAAGGAACTATGTTAATGTTTAATGTGAACACTGTTTTGTGTGGGTAGATCTCTAAGGGAGGTTATTTGTTTGTAAATATCAGCGGTGCTCCGTCAGTTCCCTGTCCTATTGTATTTAATATGAACCAGAACATTTTGCCTGTTTTGAAATAGATCAGATTAGTTTATTGTCCTACAAGGACAATTGTTTTTGGAAACATGTTTCATGCTCACATAGCTGTGATTTGCCTGTACGTCATCCATCGCTCTCATTAACACCTGTATTGGTATTAACATATCCTGATGTAACTGATGGGGGCCAACTGTGTCTCTCTTCATACTGAAAGCAGTTTAAATGTGAGGAGGATGTTGGTCTAATAAAAATAATATATAATAATAGATACAGCCAGCCATTGTGGCATGTCAGATCTGTGTGTTTCCTGTCCCAGTGTGACAGTAGAGGACCAGTATAAAGCATGGCCGGGTCAGACCGTGTGAGAGAGAGAGAGAGAGAGACACACAGTACAAGGGGTGGCAGAAAAGGGCAGGGCTGGGTCAAACCAAGGCCATCTGACACTCACATCAGCGTCCAATTGTGATTGATATTTGGTTGAGTTGTCAACGTGTGAATTCAGTGTGCGTGTGTGTGTGTCAGGTCTGTTTCGGGGAAGGCGGAGCCGGCCATGCCAGGGAGGTTGTACGTCCACCCTGACTCTCCGGCTACTGGAAGCCACTGGACACGCCAGCTTGTCTCCTTCCAGAAACTCAAACTCACTAACAACCACCTGGACCCCTTTGGACACGTCAGTCCTTTACCTCTCTCTACCTATGTGTGTGTGTGTGAGTGTGTGTGTGTGTGTATGTGAGGATGGATATCGCTGCTGTCTGCTGTGGCACTGCAAAAATAGTGGTAACCACAATTATGATGTTAATGACGTTAAGGGCCATTAGCTCATGCCTCATACCCATGCCTGGTGGGACCGTCACATCAATTAGGATTAGGCCTCTCAAATAATACACACACACACACACACACACACACACACACACACACACACACACACACACACACACACACACACACACACACACACACACACACACACACAGACACTAGAGAGGGAGCACAGTCACTGACACAACAAAGATACACACAGTACATTGGTACATAAAGAGACAGATAAGGAAAATAACAATTTAGCATGGGTCCAGAGTAGACAGAAGGGCAATTTTGTAGATAGGCCTATTGAATATCATTCTACAAGTGGGATGGTGCTAGAGCATTCAATGTTTTACTGTTTACTGTATGTCTCTGTTTTTGCTGTATTGCAGATCATATTAAACTCAATGCATAAATACCAACCCCGCCTCCACATCGTCAAAGCAGATGAACACAATGGGTTTGGTTCCAAGAACACCGCCTTCTGCACGCACATGTTCTCAGAGACCGCCTTCATCGCCGTGACATCATACCAGAACCACAAGGTACTGAAACACAGAACACAAAGTAATTATTATTTATTTTCCTTCAAAAAGTCACATTTTTGTTCATCTTATTTTATCAGATATTTCTGGATTATTTTGTCATAGATTAAATAAAATAATCCAGGTCCTGTTGTGCAGATTATTTAAATGAGTTGCCAAAGCAGGCCAGAGTTGTCTTATGGGTATATATGTTTAGCCATGTGAATCAGTGCATTATTCCCCAGGGTCACTGTTCTCAATTCAACATGTTCAGTTCTGACCTGTTCCTTTCTTTGATCATATCTGTTATGGTTCCAGCACCAGAGAGCAATCCCTCTCACACACATAGTTCTTCCCCCCCCCCCCCCCCCCCCCCCCCCCCCCCCCCCTCTCTCTCTCTATCTCTCTCTCAATTCAGTTTAAGGGGCTTTATTGGCATGGGAAACATATGTTTACATTGCTAAAGCAAGTGAAATAGATAATAAACAAATGGGAAATAAACAATACAAAATTAACAGTAAACCTTACACTCACAAAAGTTCCAAAATAATAAAGAAATTGCAAGTGTCCTATTATGTCTATATACAGTGTTGTAATGATGTGCAAATATTTAAAGTAAAAAAGGGAAAATAAATAAACATAAATATAGGTTGTATTTACAATGGTGTTTGTTCTTCACTGGTTGCCCTTTTCTTGTGGCAACAGGTCACAAATCTTGCTGCTGTGATGGCACACTGTGGTATTTCACCCTATAGGTATGGGAGTTTATCAACATTTGATTTGTTTTAAAATTCTTTGCGGGTCTGTGTAATCTGAGGGAAATATGTGTCTCTAATATGGTCATACATTTGGCAGGAAGTTAGGAAGTGCAGCTCAGTTTCCACCTCATTTTGTGGGCAGTGTGCACATAGCCTGTCTTCTCTTGAGAGCCAGGTCTGCCAGGTCTGCCTCAATAGCAAGGCTATGCTATGAGTCTGTATATAGTCAAAGATTTCCTTAATTTTGGGTCAGTCACAGTGGTCAGGTATTCTGCCACTGTGTACTCTCTGTTTAGGGCCAAATAGCATTCTAGTTTGCTCTGTTTTTTTTGTCAAATTTTTCCAATGTGTCAAGTAATTATCTTGTAGTTTTCTCATGATTTGGTTGGGTCTAATTGTGTTGCTGTCCTGGGGCTCTGTGGGGTCTGTTTGTGTTTGTGAACAGAGCACCAGGACCAGGTTGCTTAGGGGGCTCTTCTCCAGGTTCATTTCTCTGTAGGTGATGGCTTTGTTATGGAAGGTTTGGGAATCGCTTCAATTTTGGTGGTTGTAGAATTTAACGTCTCTTTTCTGGATTTTGATCATTAGCAGGTATCGGCCTAATTCTGCTCTGCATGCATTATTTGGTGTTTTACATTGTACACAGAGGATATTTTTGCATCTCTCTCTCTCTCTCGCTCTCACACTCACACACACACACACACACACACACACACACACACACACACACACACACACACACACACACACACACACACACACACACACACACACACACACACACACACACACACACACACACACACACACACACACAAAGACATTAAATACAAATTCAATGTATGCGTTTAATTTCAACATTTCTGCAATACAACATTAATTATAGCTCCATAGTGAAAGCCCACGTGTACTGTGATAAACACATCCCCGTGCCTAAGAAGAAAAACACAAACCAACCCCACCGTGACATTGACAGTGAAAATAAATATTTTTCAATCCAAATGTTCCAAGAACCAGTATATTTGGCTTGATGTATTTAGGGAAACAGTTTACACTGGGATCTTCTGCTGGTAAAAAAATGTATTATGTCAGAACATGCACTCTTAGAAAAAAGGGTTCCAAAAGGGTTCTTCAGCTGTCCCCATAGGAGTACACTTTCTGGTTCCAGGTAGAAACCTTTTGGGTTCCAGATATAACCCTTTTGGGTTCCATGTAGAACCCTCTGTGGTAAGGGTTCTACATTGAACCCAAAAGGGTCTTACCAGGAACCACAAAAGGTTATTCAAAGGGTTCTCCTATGGGGATAGCCAAAAAACCGTTTTAGGTTCTAGATAGCACCTTTTTTTCTAAGAATGTGGTCAGGTTCTGTGAAATGTCCATGTTACGTTCCAGAATCCCCAAATCCACCCCTGTTCAGGTCCAGATTCAACATTTCTTATGGATCAGTAGGATACAGTAAAACACAGGACTGGGCAGGGTGTTTCGTGATCTAAGGCAGTATGTTGTGTCCCTGTCAGATCACTCAGCTGAAGATAGAGAACAACCCGTTCGCTAAGGGCTTCAGAGGCAGTGATGACATGGAGCTGCACCGCATGGCTAAGATACAGGGGTGAGTACAGCCTCTCTCTCTCTCTCTCTCTCTCTCTCTCTCTCTCTCTGCTGATCTACAGTGGAGGATTCTGTGGGGAGGAGGAGACAGTGAAGCATCTATTTTTTTCTTGTTCCAGGCTGGTAGGGTTGTTTTCTGTCCTGTCCTGGGTGGGTGGTGTACAGGCCTAGGGTTTGGGCTGACTCTGGACCTATACTGTACGTTGGCGGGCCAGGGTATACAGTGCATTTGGAAAGTATTCAGACCCCTTGACTTTTTCCACATTTTGTTATGTTACAGCCTTATTCTAAAATGGATTAAATAAATGAAAATCCTCAGCAATCTACACACAATACCCCATAATGACAAAGCGAAAACAGGTATTAGAATTTTGTTTAGCAATTAAAAAAAAAAAAAAAATTAATACCTTATTTTTACGTAGGTATTCAGCCCATTTGCTATGAGACTCGAAATTGAGCTCAGGTGCATCCTGTTTCCATTGATCATCCTGGAGATGTTTCTACAACTTGATTGGAGTCCACTTGTGGTAAATTAAATTGATTGGACATGATTTGGAAAGGCACAAACCTGTCTATATAAGGTCCCACAGTTGACAGTGCATGTCAGAGCAAAAACCAAGCCATGAGGTCGAAGGAATTGTCTGTAGAGCTCCGAGACAGGATTGTGTCGAGGCACAGATCTGGGGAAGGGTACCAAAAAATGTCTGCAGCATTGAAGGTCCCCAAGAACACAGTGGCCTCCATCATTCTTAAATGGAAAATGTTTGGAACCACCAAGACTCTTCCTAGAGCTGGCCGCCCAGCCAAACTGAGCAATCGGGGGAGAAGGGCCTTAGTCAGGGAGGTGACCAAGAACCTGATGGTCACTCTGACAGAGCTCCAGAGTTCCTCTGTGGAGATGGGAGAACCTTCCAGAAGGACAACCATCTCTGCAGCACTCCACCAATCAGGCCTTTATGGTAGAGTGGCCAGACGGAAGCCACTCCTCAGTAAAATACACATGACAGCCCACTTGGAGTTTGCCAAAAGGCACCTAAAGACTCTCAGACCACGAGAAACAAGATTCTCTGGTCTGATGAAACCAAGATTGAACTCTTTGGCCTGAATGCCAAGCGTCATGTCTGGAAGAAACCTGGCACCATCCCTACGGTGAAGCATGGTGGGGCAACATCATGCTGTGGGGATGCTTTTCAGCGGCAGGGACTGGGAGACTAGTCAGGATCGAGGCAAAGATGAACAGAGCAAAGTACAGAGAGATCCTTGATGAAAACTTGCTCCAGAGCGCTCAGGACCTCAGACTGGGGTGAAGGTTCACCTTCCAACAGGACAACGACCCTAAGCACACGGCCAAGACAACGCAGGAGTGGCTTCGGGACAAGTCTCTGAATGTCCTTGAGTGGCCCAGCCAGAGCCCGGACTTGAACCCGATCGAACATCTCTGGAGAGACCTGAAAATAGCTGTGCAGCAACGCTCCCCATCCAACCTGACAGAGCTTGAGAGGATCTGCAGAGAACAATGGGAGAAACTCCCCAAATACAGGTGTGCCAAGCTTGTAGCGTCATACCCAAGAAGACTTGATGCTGTAATCGCTGCCAAATGTGTTTCAACAAAATACTGAGTAAAGGGTCTGAATACTTATGTAAATGTGATATATATATATTTTTTAATTACCAAAAATTTCTAAAAATCTGTTTTTGCTTTGTCATTATGGGTTATTGTGTGTAGATTGATGAGGGGGGAAAACAATTTAATCAATTTTAGAATAAGGCTGTAACGTAACAAAATGTGGAAAAAGTAAAGGGGTCTGAATATTTTTTTTGGGGGGGGGGTGTGTATGATACAGTGGCAAGAAAAAGTATGTGAACCCTTTGGAATTACCTAGATTTTTGCAGAAATGGGTAATATAATATGATCTGATCTTCATCTAAATCACAACAATAGACAAACACAGTCTGCTTAAACTAATAACACACAAACAATTATAAATGTTCATGTCTTTATTGAGGAAAAAAAAATCCAGAAAATCACATTGTAGGATTTTTAATGAATTTATTTGCAAATTATGGTGGAAAATAAGTATTTGGTCACCTACAAACAAGCAAGATTTCTGGCTCTCACAGACCTGTAACTTCTTCTTTAAGAGGCTCCTCTGTCCTCCACTCGTTACCTGTATTAATGGCACCTGTTTGAACTTGTTATCAGTATAAAAGACACCTGTCCACAACCTCAAACAGTCACACTCCAAACTCCACTATGGCCAAGACCAAAGAGCTGTCAAAGGACACCAGAAACAAAATTGTAGACCAGCACCAGGCTGGGAAGACTGAATCTGCAATAAGTAAGCAGCTTGGTTTGAAGAAATCAATCAATCAATCAATTTTATTTTATATAGCCCTTCTTACATCAGCTAATATCTCGAAGTGCTGTACAGAAACCCAGCCTAAAACCCCAAACAGCTAGTAATGCAGGTGTAGAAAGAAATCAACTGTGGGAGCAATTATTAGGAAATGGAAGACATACAAGACCACTGATAATCTCCCTCGATCTGGGGCTCCACGCAAGATCTCACCCCGTGGGGTCAAAATGATCACAAGAACGGTGAGCAAAAATCCCAGAACCACACGGGGGGACCTAGTGAATGACCTGCAGAGAGCTGGGACCAAAGTAACAAAGCCTACCATCAGTAACACACTACGCCGCCAGGGACTCAAATCCTGCAGTGCCAGACGTGTCCCCCTGCTTAAGCCAGTACATGTCCAGGCCTGTCTGAAGTTTGCTAGAGTGCATTTGGATGATCCAGAAGAGGATTGGGAGAATGTCATATGGTCAGATGAAACCAAAATATAATTTTTTGGTAAAAACTCAACTCGTCGTGTTTGGAGGACAAAGAATGCTGAGTTGCATCCAAAGAACACCATACCTACTGTGAAGCATGGGGGTGGAAACATCATGCTTTGGGGCTGTTTTTCTGCAAAGGGACCAGGACGACTGATCCGTGTAAAGGAAAGAATGAATGGGGCCATGTATCGTGAGATTTTGAGTGAAAACCTTCCATCAGCAAGGGCATTGAAGATTAAACGTGGCTGGGTCTTTCAGCATGACAATGATCCCAAACACACTGCCCGGGCAACGAAGGAGTGGCTTCGTAAGAAGCATTTCAAGGTCCTGGAGTGGCCTAGCCAGTCTCCAGATCTCAACCCCATAGAAAATCTTTGGAGGGAGTTGAAAGTCCGTGTTGCTCAGCGACAGCCCCAAAACATCACTGCTCTAGAGGAGATCTGCATGGAGGAATGGGCCAAAATACCAGCAACAGTGTGTGAAAACCTTGTGAAGACTTACAGAAAACGTTTGACCTGTGTCATTGCCAACAAAGGGTATATAACAAAGTATTGAGAAACTTTTGTTATTGACCAAATACTTATTTTCCACCATAATTTGCAAATAAATTCATTAAAAATCCTACAATGTGATTTTCTGGAAATAATTTTCTCATTTTGTCTGTCATAGTTGACGTGTAACTATGATGAAAATTACAGGCCTCTCTCAACTTTTTAAGTGGGAGAACTTGCACAATTGGTGGCTGACTAAATACTTTTTTCCCCCACTGTATATTCATATCCTTTTTAAAAATATATTTCCCTTTATTACTTTCCAACCCCACCACCTCTTCCCTAATTGGAGTAAACTAGTGAAAAACAACGCTTAGACCTCTACTTCCAGCTTATACAGTGGGGAGAACAAGTATTTGATACACTGCCGATTTTGCAGGTTTTCCTACTTACAAAGCATGTAGAGGTCTGTAATTTTTATCATAGGTACACTTCAACTGTGAGAGACGGAATCTAAAACAAAAATCCAGAAAATCACATTGTATGATTTTTAAGTAATTAATTTGCATTTTATTGCATGACATATGTATTTGATCACCTACCAACCAGTAAGAATTCCGGCTCTCACAGACCTGTTAGTTTTTCTTTAAGAAGCCCTCCTGTTCTCCACTCATTACCTGTATTAACTGCACCTGTTTGAACTCATTACCTGTATAAAAGACACCTGTCCACACACTCAATCAAACAGACTCCAACCTCTCCAAAATGGCCAAGACCAGAGAGCTGTGTAAGGACATCAGGGATAAAATTGTAGACCTGCACAAGGCTGGGATGGGCTACAGGACAATAGGCAAGCAGCTTGGTGAGAAGGCAACAACTGTTGCCGCAATTATTAGGAAATGGAAGAAGTTCAAGATGACGGTCAATCACCCTCGGTCTGGGGCTGCATGCAAGATCTCACCTCGTGGGGCATCAATGATCATGAGGAAGGTGAGGGATCAGCCCAGAACTACACGGCAGGACCTGGTCAATGACCTGAAGAGAGCTGGGACCACAGTCTCAAAGAAAACCATTAGTAACACACTACACCGTATTTGGAGGGAGCTGAAAGTCCGTATTGCCCAGCGACAGCCCCGAAACCTGAAGGATCTGGAGAAGGTCTGTATGGAGGAGTGGGCCAAAATCCCTGCTGCATTGTGTGCAAACCTGGTCAAGACCTACAGGAAACGTATGAACAAAGGTTTCTGTACCAAATATTAAGTTCTGCTTTTCTGATGTAACAAATACTTATGTCATGCAATAAAATGCAAATGAATTACTTAAAAATCATACAATGTGATTTTCTGGATTTTTGTTTTAGATTCCGTCTCTCACAGTTGAAGTGTACCTATGATACAAATTACAGACCTCTACATGCTTTGTAAGTAGGAAAACCTGCAAAATCGGCAGTGTATCAAATACTTGTTCTCCCCACTGTACATACTATATACACTGCTCAAAAAAATAAAGGGAACACTTAAACAACACAATGTAACTCCAAGTCAATCACACTTCTGTGAAATCAAACTGTCCACTTAGGAAGCAACACTGATTGACAATACATTTCACATGCTGTTGTGCAAATGGAATAGACAACAGGTGGACATTATAGGCAATTAGCAAGACACCC